TTTATTTATTTATTTTGTTTGTGTGGTACTTTCAGCTGATATAATATAATTGTTAGGTGGATGGAGTTTTGAAGGTTGCTTGCAGGGGCAGTAGCTTTCATGTCCTTCCTTTATTTGTATTAATTATTTATTCGTATTCCTACATTGGTGTTGTTTATCTGGCTTGGGTTTGTTTGATGTAATTTCTGGTTTGGCTAGCTGAGTGCTTTGTATTAGCTACTGCTTTCTTAGGTTTTGTAGTTTAGTATTTAGTCCTAGCCCACGTGCATTTTAGTGCGCGTGTTTTTTGGCTACACGCGCTGTAAAGAGAGCGCGCGCGTATTGTTGTTTTCCGTTAGTCGCGTTGGTTTTTGTAGCAGTTTTTGTGCAGTTTGCTGAAGAAGGCCGAAGTGCCGAAACGTTCTAATAAAGAGTAGGAATAATAGTTGCAAGTTGCGTGCCTTTTTCTTCAATTTATTCAATTTATACCTTTATATATATATATATACAGCTGTTTGCAATAATTCTGACCCCCCTACACTAATATTCATATATATCAAAATAGCCTTAGAAATTATGGGATACCATTGCTGATATTTTTTTTAGAAAGTACTCATTCTAGACAACTCAAAAAATATATCAGTCATGATATCCCATAATATTAAAGGTCAGTTTGATATATATGAAATATGGCAGAGGGGGTCATAATTATTGCAAACAGCTGTATATAAACACAAAAAATCAATTGACAATATTATGTCGGTGGCATGGATGACCAAAATAATTGATTGTGCTGTTTTGGTTACCCAGCTACCCTCCTGGAAAAATATTATTATTAAATATTATCTTTTTTAAAGATACCAACTATAAATTTTATTTATATTCTCCTGTTCAACCATTTTTCATGAAGTAAATATTAGTGTTTGTATTCAGTACCTTAATCATAAACTCTGTGGTTAATTCAGCTGCAAAGTCACTTAGTTTATCATTTTCTCTGGGTAAACAAGTGTTGCTTTTCATTCTCCTTGTCTTTCTACAAGAAGGCACAGACGTAGTCTCTGAGACATATAGCTCTCTAAACTTCTTCTCGATTTGCATTTCTTTCTCCTTCCAAAGCTTTTGCATTTTCTCCATCTCCCCACCTACCACTAAACAATACATTACATTCATGAATATTATATAATGATAACAGTCTACCTATACGTGTCAATCATAAAATTTCAATCATGCTGGAGGGAGGTTGACCACTGGAATTGAGTGAACATTGTTGGTACCTATGCACCTGTATTTTTTAAGTTTAAATTTTAAAAAAGAAACAACAACTCTTAATAGACCAATTTAAAAAATAAAGTACCTGAGCCTGCTAATAGTATCTCTTCCTCTCTTGTACCAAAGTCTCTCACATAAATTCCTTTCTTGAGCAGGTCAGAGTAATACTAAAATTTAGTACAAAAACATAGCTAAGAACTAACCTTTAAACTTGTTTTCAATCATAATTTTATAGCTAAAAAATAGGAATTATACTGTTAGCATTGCTTAGGTTTTAAAATCACCTTGTGACGGCTGCTACAAATTGTGAGTTTGTTTAAAATGTAGGTTTTAGCTTCATCTATTCCTTTATAGTGACTTTTCAACTTGTCATGTGGCAAGGATTCCTCTACAACAGCTGCAATGTCATCTAAAATTTTCCTTTCTGTACTACCTAAAATAAAAATAAAGTATTAAAAAGGCTCATTATCACTGTAGCTCTCTACAAGTTTATCAGTGCTTCAGTGTACCTGCACATGAAGAAATTGACATATTGTTTCTTTCTGCTTCTGTTGTCTGTCCAGGCTTGATTTTGACTGTCACTCTATCTTGTTTAGCATTCTCTGGACCATAACTGTACAGTTTTGTGTTAAGATTGTCAAGTGAACCAATCTTATATGCAAGTAGACCAATGCTTTTTAAAAGCTGCTCTGTGTTCCTCATCTCACAATGGAGAGCGCAGAGACACAAAGAAGACAAGTCTTCATCCAACAAGCATGTCAAGTCATCTCTCATTCCTTTAAATCTACAAGGTTGAATTACAGATAACCAATTAATCAAAGCGTAAATTGTAGCCAGTGACATCATTGTTATGCACCCGAACAAAAGACATTGAATTACAAAGTACTTTAAGTAGTATTTTTTGATAACAAAATGAAAAGAATGTACTATATATCATAAAGGATCATTATAATGTTTGCTTTTATGGAAATAAAAGCAAATATTTTGCATTTGCAATGAAAGTCACAAGATATATTGGTGTACTTACCCCCCAATGTTAGCTTTAGTTTGTAGAAAATGGTCCAAACATAACTCGTTCTTTCCAAGATCACAATTACATGCCTAGATACAAAAGTAAATTTTAAAGTTTTAAAGTACATCTTGAGTTCTAAATAAACAAATACAGATCAAGTGCCCTTGTGCAAGATTGCTTGCATTCATATCACACAAAACACTCGTTTTATTTAACATTCACTACTTACTCTTAGAGCCATGCAAAACAAACAAAACTCAACTTCCAATCCACGCCCACCAAGCTCAAAGTCGTCATCTTCAGGTTTTGCAAGAATCAGCACAAGCCCTTTTAAGTCAAGGGTAACTGGGAGAATAATAATAATTACTACTTACAATATTTCTCATAGGTATGATGTAATTGTGCAATACATGTTATAATACATGATGCAGACATTGAGATATCAAAGCGCACGTTTTATAGCCAGGTCAGTTTACAAGTGGCATTAAATTACCAAGACCACAAATAAATAAATGAATAACATATTCAGCTCACAAAATCACAGGCGTGACACCCAAGCAATTCTGTTGCACAAAGCACTTAGGAGACAGAATATGCAATCATACATATTTATGGTGAGTAAAATTTATAGTGAGGTCAGTTTGCTAGTGACATTAAATTACCAAGACCACAAATAAATAAATGAATAACATATTCAGCTCACAAAATCACAGGCGTGACACCCAAGCAATTCTGTTGCACAAAGCACTTAGGAGACAGAATATGCAATCATACATATTTATGGTGGGTACAATTTATAGCGAGGTCAGTTTGCTAGTGACAACTAAATAAT